GTTGTATTAACAGTGCAACTGCTTTAATTCCAAAATACAGTCATCTTGCATCTTGCTAAGAATCTTGTCTGTTGATAAAGACATGGCCGTGGAAGGGTGGAAGGTCGATTACTACTTTATTTGTTTATTTTCTAAAAGGATATCAACATTTCGGATCTGGGGCTGAATATTTATTGAACTAATATTGAAACTAAAGAAGGTTTTCAGCACATGGAATACTAGTTGATGTGCACAGTGTAAAGAAATTAGTTATTTCACCTTAGTTTGAAAGGTTTAAGGTAAAGATCTTCCCTCTGACCGACATGATAGGTTGAGCTTTAAATCATGTATTTTCTTTGTTAAATCTATATTCATTTTACAGATTACTTTATCACTACCAGACAAGATAAATTTGAAACATGTATGACTATGGCAGTTATTTTTTTAATACATGTTAGCTTTACATATCCCTTAGTTAAAAACTTAATGAAAATAAGCTAAAAAAATAAGATAATTTTTATACAGCTTGATTTGAATAAAAAAAAACATCTTATGAATATATTTCATTCAAAATATAGATTATGACTCTTTATGGCATGCAGGTTAGCTCTGTTGCCTCTCAGCTGGTCTTTGGTCTTACATTCAATTTTGGACTGCATCTGTGAGGAATTTCCTATTGTTCTCATGAGTCTTCCCAGGTACTCTACTTTCCTCAACACTTTTCAAGGGCATGCTGGGTAAATTAATTGGTGTGTATGAATTACCCTGTGAACACCCCCTATATTTCACATACAGGGTGTAGTACTGCCTTGCACCATGTGCTTTTGGTAAAGGTTCCGGTTTGCGACAGCTATCACCAGGCATGTGTGTCTTTCTGATATTGGATGACTGTTTAATGTCGCTGAATCAGAAGGAACACTCTTCTAAAATGTTATCAACTGATAATCTGTAAATTGTTAAGAATCCTTTCATTATTTTATAAAGGTAATTTTAAGCAAAACATCAGTCTAGTTAGAAATTCTTCATTGCAATGGAATACGCATTTGAATACAAGTTTGCCATAGGGTTGTTTTTTCCTGTTTTCCATTTTTATTTGTTTCTCACATTTTTCAGTCTACCTTGGGTTCTCAATCTTAACACAGATGTACAGGTCTCAAGGCAAGACCACAGAAGGGACAGCAAAATGTTGATCTAAACACTACTTAAAAATTCCTAATCAGTACTTTAACAGCTTTCCAATTAGTCGATGCACAGAGCTGCTGGAAAACCAAAAGGCAATACATTTGAAATATGTGATGGATGTGCATTTAAGCCACATTTTATCCAGACCTATACATGAATTTAAAAAAAGCAATTAAAAAAAGGCATATGTTTCTTTGACACTTGCCACACATTTTATGCATATTACAAATACTCTCCCTATCAGTTCTCAGTAGCGGGTCCAGGCCCAGTGTAGCCGTGGATCCATTGTCTTTTTTCATCCTTTCCACATACTGATATATAAATAGATAATAAATGGGCTGCGTAAAAACTGCTGATGTTGTGCCTGGCATTTGTTTGTGCGATAGGCCATAAAATTGCTTGTTAGCAAACTGCTGTGGACTCTGCTTGGTGCTTGGACCACAGGGAGTTGGAACAATCGGCACATACAGACATTGATAACATTCTCAATAGCATGAGCAGTCATTGTGGTGTTTCAAGTAAAAACATGTTTAATTTAGAACTCACAGCTTGGGGCCCGAGCCACAACTGTACATGTTTTAAAGCTTGAAATTTCTAGCTGCAATCCTTTGAATACCATGAAAAATGGAGACCTAGTAGGATACTGAAGTACCTAAAAGCTTACTTCAGTCAAGTGGTGTTTAGGTTATGACAGCAGAAAAAGCTTTCCAATTTCAATATTTAAAGAGTAAGCTGCAGTATCAGTGCCTTTCTACACATTAACTTATACAAATCCTCGCATATATTATATGTTTCTCAGGAACATATGCACCCTGAGGACAGACTTCTTTCTGAGACTGTAAGTCTAGAAAAAGAAAAATGATGAATTCTGCTTACAGTTCATTTAACTGAACACTTTGAAAATGGCAGTCGTTTTTTCACACTGTGCTTCACATACTTGAGAATGGCATAATGTTCTATCTTTCACCCTTTATTTTTTAACCACTGCTAGTTCAAACCCTCACAGAGATTATGATAAGCCATGAAGAAATAATCAACAGTGTGCTTTTGTCCAGTTGCTTGGAAAAATCCACTTTTTTGTATTAGCTTGAATCACAGAGAAACCTCTTCAGCATGAGCGAAAGTCTTTTGAATTGTTGTAAGTGTCGTGTCTCATTGTGCAAGGCAATTTGATGTGTGATACCTAAGTTCTAAGTACAGCAGACAGAGGGTGTTCAGAGAGGCTTCGAAAAGGACACAAAGTTACATCAGGAACGAACTTCATTGTCATTGCTTCTTCAAAATGTAGTTGATGAATTCTTTGAATTCTGAATTTCCAATCCTGGTCCTGTCACTTTTTTTTCTTTAATACAGCAGAACATGAAGAGCTGAGTGAAGCTGTTAAACTGGCCCAAGTAAGAAAGTAACTAGCTGGTTAAGTCTGTTAAGAGCTGAGTGGGACTTAAAACCTGCAGTCACAACAGTCCTATCAGAATAGAACTCCCCTGCTGTAGATAATCGTATTCCACTCAAAATATGTACCTCTGTTATTATGGTGATCTCTAATCTGGAGAGTTGTGACATCTTTGTAGTTTGCTATTGCTTCTCTTACACTCATAAGAAATATGAAGTTCATCATATATAGTGCAGTCTGTAAGTATTTGGACAGTGACACAGTTTGTGTTGTTTTGGCTCTGAACTCCAACACATTGGATTTGAAATGAAACAATGAATATGAGGTTAAAGTGGAGAATGTCAGCTTTAATTCGAGGGTATTCCCGTCTATATTGGGTGAACCATATAGGAATCACATCCCTTTTTATACATAGTCCTCCCATTTTAGGGAACCAAAAGTAATTGGACAATTGGCTGCTCAGTTGTTGCTTGGCCAGCTGTGTGTTGTTGCATCATTAGTTCATGCACAAAAGAGCCACAGTAACAACAGGTCAAGAGTTGATGCTAGAAGTGGCATTTCCATCTGGAGTCTGTTGCTGTTGTCTCTCAACATGAGGACCAAAGAGGTATTAATGCCATTAAAGCGGGCCATCATGAGGCTGAAAAATCAGAATAAATCAGACATAGCCAAAACATTAGGTGTGTCAACATTAGGTGTGTTAAGAAGCAAGAACGCACTTCTTAGCAATAGCAAACAACCTAGTAGACCACGGAAGACCACAGTAGTAGATGACTTTAGAATACTTTCAATTGTGAAGAAAAAAACATTTTTCAACTGTTGAACAGATCAGCTACACTCTACAGGATGTAGGCATATCTGTGTCAAAGACTACCATAAAGAGTAGAATACACCAGCATAATTTCAGACGGTTCACCACAAGATGCAAACCACTGGTAAGAAAGACCACAGGTCAGGTTACAGTTAGCTAAAAAGTACATAAAAAAAGCTTCTAGAGTTTTGGGACAAAGCCTTATGGACAGATGAGACAAAGATTAAGCTGTACCAAAGTGATGGAAAGAGAAAAGTATGAAGAAAAAAAGGGAACAGCTCATGATCCAAAGCATACCACCTCATCTGTGAAACATGGTGAAGGTAGTGTCATGGCTTGGGCATGTATGGCTGCCAGTGGAACTGGCTCACTTGTCTTTATTGATGATGTGACTGCAGACGGCAGCAGCAGGATTAATTCTGAAGTGTACAGAAGCATCTTATCTCCTCAGATCCAACCAAATGCTTCAAAACTCATTGGACGGCAATTCACCCTGTAGCAGGACAATGACCCCAAACATACTGCTAAAGCAACTATGGGGTTTTTCAGGGCCAATGTTTTTGACTGGCCAAGTCAATCACCCGACCTGAATCTCATTGAGCATGCATTTTACTTACCGGCGACAAGACTGAAAGCAAAAAGCATCCAAAACAAGCAGGAACCAAAAATGGCTGAATTACAGGCCTGGCAGAGCATCACCAGGAAAGATACTCAACGTCTAGTGATGTTGATGGGTCGCAGATCTTCATCCAATAGAAAAGTTGTGGCAGGACCTGCTAGTTCATGCAAGAAAGCCCACCTAACATCACTGAAGCAGTTCTGTAAGGAGGAATTGGCCACAATTCCTCCAAGTCAATGTGCAGGACTGATCAACAGTTACCGTAAATGTTTGATTTAAGTCATCGCTGCTCAAGGGGGTCACACCAGTTACTGAAAGCATAGGTTAACATACTTTTTCTGACAAAGACATTTAATGTTGGATCATTTTGAAAAAGGTATATCCTTTTGTGTGTCATTTGTTTTATTGTGTTCTCTTTATCTATTTTTATGACTTTATATTTTAGGTCAAATTTATACAGAAATTCAGAAAATTCTAAAGAGTTCATAAACTTTCTAGCACCACTGTATAAAAAGGGCTGTGATTCCTGTATGGTTAACCCAATACAGACGTAAATACCTTCAAATTAAAACTGACATTCTGCACTTTGATCTCATAGTCATTGTTTTATTTTAAATCCTATGTGCTGCAGTACAGAGCCAAAAATGGCAACAGTCTAAATACTTGTGAACTGCACTATACATACTGCTGTACATCCTCAGAACTAATGAAAATTCCTGTGACCCATCAACATTCTTGTGAGGTTACAGGTTAAGGAATCAGTCTTTTCAGTACTTTTTTTAAGGTGATGATCATGAAAAATGTCAAATTGTCTGTTTTAATCAGTAGGTTTAAAACAGTAATAAACTGGGTTCAAAAGATTTTGCTAGAAATACCACATCATTTTTTTATTGTTACAGTAGATGTCTGCTTCAGAGATTTTAAAAAGATGACAGTTTTCCACAGACAGAATCTTTGGCAGCATCATTTCTTGCAGTGAATTTACCTCTAAGGCTGTCTCTTTTTATTCTTTCCAGGACCCAGTCTATGGCAAAGGCAAGTTGGCTGAAATTCAAGGATTAATTCTGGGGATGCTGGAGACCTTTAATTATGAACAGGTAATTACTTTAGAACCCTTCAACCAAATTAAAATGTTGTTTTTAAATGAAACAAAGGCTAATGTTTCTAAAATGCACTTTACATTTCTAGAAAGCTGTCAGAAACAAGTACTAATAAACGTTAGTTTGATCAGACCTGCTTTCTTCTTCAATAAAAGAAAAGCACACTGTATGGAATTTATTATTGCAATCAGTTTTGCACATTTCTAAGCAAATCCTTGCCATGGTTTGAGGCCAAACACCCCACATGAGTAAAAAAAATCTGGAGAGCGACACAGCGTGAAAGATGATAACTACAGAGAGATGGGATTTTTTATGAGTAAATTTCAAGAAAGCTAAAGTGAAAATAAAATAATACCTACTTTTTTGCCAGGGTTTTAACTGAGAGTGGAGGTACAAAAGCGGGTTGTGTAGTATCTTTTAAACCATGAAATTATGGTTGGTGATAGGTTGTGATGTTTTAATTTATAGAGTCTTTCCCAATCCTGAAGGTTCCTCATTGATTGGTCATCTTTTGTTTGAATGACAGTGACCTGCTGCTAGGATCATGTCTGTCCAGATATGATGTATATATCATGAAATTACAGTGATATCATGGTCTCCATTAATGGTGTCCTGTTTTGTGTCACAGACTCAGAATATGCTACTTATCAGGGAAGTCCATCTCCATAGCATTTCTTCAAGCTTGAATCAGTAGTGCTAAAAAGCAACGTGGTTAGTGTCAATTCCAGGCCACTGCGAGGGCTTTCAGAAAATCCTTCTAAACTTTTAATTCTTTTGCATATTAATAAGCCTGCATGCTGTAACATCAATGCCAAAGAGTTTTTAAGATTACTGTATATTACTCTAACCACTGAGTAAGTTACATATAACTAATTAGAAAGCAGTTAATATCAGCATGTTCATCAGTCACATTCTGAAAATACATTTTTATACAGTGATTCTAATTGCTTTTTGAAAAAACGATTGCATCCTGATTGATTAAAATACCATGTTTATGCTTGTTCATTTAAAGAAATGAATTTGACCTCAAAGCAATTAAAATGGATTAAGGATGTGAAGGATTTTTTTTTTGCTTTGCCACATCATTAGAAATTAAGTGGATAAAAAGTTTAGTAATGCAGAAATTGGTTCAGTATGTATTAATTGCACAGGGAGCAAAAGGTAAAGCTGGTTTGCAGATCATGTTCAAAAAGAGACTCATGTTTATAAGGTGTAAGGCAGAATACCGCAACAAATCCTTTGGCATGATGACTGCATCTCGCCATTTTATTTTTTCAGTTTATTTTTGATATAGGACTGCAGTACTCTGTAAAATTGCCAGGTGGCCCAGTGAATTTTTAAGTGTTTATTAACCAATTTGTGCTTTCCTTCACTAATACTATACTGTATGATTTAATTTCTTTAAATACAATGATTAAGCACAACTCCATGTATGTCACTGTCAGTAGTCATATAAAACTAACAGCATTATCGTTTTTTTTAATTACATACAATGTATAGAATTACTAGTAATTATGTATAAATAATCATTTCAAAACAATTTTTAAAAGCAAATAACTGTAAAAAGTAACGATTTGAATGACTTTCAAAAGATGATTTACGGTCATTTACTGTAAGCTACATTGTCGCTGATACAAGTCTGCACTTTGGATTTATTTGGTTTCACTTGCTCTGCAAGCAATTATTACATCAGTAATTTTATTTTTTGTTTTTTTTTTATATATTAATTTGTATATACTATGTAATGTTTCCTTGTAGTGTAATAGAAATGAAATTTCTGATCAAATATACCCATCACTAGACAGTGCTTGTAGTTTTTAATTCAGTTCGTCCAATCAGAGCTACACATGTGGTCTTTAAATGTGGTGGTTCAGTGGTAGAATCTGTGCCTCCCACACAGGAGGCATTGGTTTGATTCCCATCCATTGCATAAATTGTACTTTAACAATTTGCTCCTTGAGCATAATAAATACTTTAATTATATTTACTCTCATAATAAAATGTAATAAATACTACAGATACTATGTACCCTATATTAACATTTTAATTAATTTTACATATCACAGTATGTTAAATATTAAAATAAGGTGTCATGTCATGTCATTTGCCAAACTACTTTGTACCATACAGTGTCGCGGGAAGCTGGACCCTACCTGGCAGGCAACAAGCGCAAGGCAGGGTTCCCCCTGGACGGGATGCCAGTCAATCGCAGATATTAATATAATATTAATAATAAATGACATAATTACATGAATGAACTTACATAGTGTAGAGTTAACAGACATGTTAATACTGCCATAAGGGGAGTAAAGAAAACCAGTTCTACCGGTCATTTGATCACCAGACCAGCAATCTCTGGGATGCCCTTCAACAGAAATTGCAATTGAGGGTTTTACATGGATATTTGCTACTATTTTTTAAACCATGTATATAATATTTTTTTATAGTTACTGTATAATCTAATATATATATATTTGTTTTTGCTGCACTTTTTTCTTCTTTTTTTTTCATGCCAGGACTAGTGTTTGTGGTGTTTTTGTTCCTGTAGAGGTTTAAAACCATACAGTATCATTGTGCTTTTTAAAACAAATAAATGTATAGTAACAAAAGAACATTTAGATTTGTACAGTACTTTGCAGTAAGTTGAATTGCAACTAATACAACTCTGCACTTTATTTAAATATATTTAAATTGCTGATATTGCAATTTGCTTTTGAAGTACAGTATGCGCAAAAACATTTATGACAGTATAATTTTGATGATCACTTGAAAATTGTGGTGTTAGTAAAGGAATATACAGTACTGTAGATGAAGGCAGTCTGCAAGAAGTCAGCATCAGATTTCAGACAGCAGGGAATATTTTTAAAAACATAAAAACGAGACTAGGCCATTAGAATAACTGTTTTTTTGGTCAATTTAGATAAAGACACGTGTAGCAACTTTTTGAGAAGGAGCTGAGAAATGATTTCATTAATGTTCACGATTTTATAATAAATCAAATATGCATTTGTATGTATTCATGGCATAATTTGTTTTACACTTTTTAAGTTAGATTGTTAGACTATATACTATCCAGCCAAACATTTACTTTAGAACAAAATAAATTCAGAGACTTAACTTAGTGGCTGCGCAGTTCACATAAGATTTTCCCACTATTATGTGTGACTGTTGTGCATCATCATTTGAATTGGAGATGTACTGTGAAGTATTGTATTGGAGATTACACTGAGAAGAACATACAGAAGTGTGAAAAAGTGTTTGCCCCCTACCTGATTTCCTATTTTTTTGCATGTTTGTCACACTGAAATGTTTCAGATCTTCAAACAAATTGAAATATTAGACAAAGATAACACAAGTAAACACAAAATGCAGTTTTTAAATTTTTAGGTTTTTATTATTAAGTGATTTATTTGATGTATTTAATATGATTATATTACAAAAATAATATACATTTTCAAGACATATAATTATTGGACTAAGAAAAACATATTAATTGAAGCTACTATTTGTGTTAGCAGCACTAGGGCCACCTACAGATCCAGCCATTCAGAATGGCTGCGCGAGAAAGCGGTACAGTGCGGGAGACTGCAGCATTTTAGAAATTTTCAGTAATGTGACTACAGTTCTTTGTAAAACCGCCAGGTGGAGCTGTAAAAGCTTAACGGGGCTTGTGGTGCTTTGCGGCTGTCACCAGAAAACTCGAATCCCGGTCAATGCTGAAGGGCAATAATTAGAAATGGATAGAATTTAAGCTGTACACTTTTGTTAATTTTAAACAGTTATTATACTGTAGTCTGTGAACAGGATGTGCCTTTTTCAGGTATACATTCACATAATGAAAATCCAAAGGTCAATTTTGGTAGCAGAAAACAAAACAGTACTGTAATGTAATACTGTTCACCCAGAAATCTAATGTACGCACAGTAGATGGCAGTGATAGCTAAATATGAAAACATACACAATGGTATTTTACCCTCTTTATAACAGTGGGTTATGGTTTTAACATGCTTATTTTGACATTATAAAGTTTATATACTGTACTTCATAAAAAGGTACTCTATAATGTTTTATCCTTTTCTAATAATACAAACAGTAGTAAGAACACCACTTTCTTTTATTGTAAAAAAATTACTGGTTTAATACCACTTGATAGTAATATTAATATGGAATCGTTTAACTAAGCAGCTTAAATATCACAAGTGGTTGTTTTGTAAACATTTTGACATTCGTTTTTTTTTATTTTTATTGTCCTTATAGTGGTAATGGGCAATGGACTGAAATATAGCTTTCTGCACCTAGGCGGTTCAAAGCCCAATCAGAGCATTACTTTCGGTTTGTTTTTTTCATCGCCGAATACATAAAAATAGTCTACTATTATAGCTTATTGTGAACAAAATGTCTCTCTTTCAGGTTTACATACGAATTGAGAAAATCTATATTTTGTCTTTAATTTAACTTTAAATTTAAAACTTTAAACAGTATATTGTACAGTGAAGTACTGTGCAGTCCCAAGATTTACTCTGAGAGGTTATTTTTGGCAAAATTTGCTCCGGTGTGAGTGTGTGTATCTGGATGAATTAGACATGCTGGTTTCATAATCAAGGATTTCTTCAGTGAATTCTTTAAGTAAAACAAAGGAGGTAAGAAGGGTTATTTTTACAATTGCCAGTAATTGGAGAACAGCATATCAATATGCCACGTGTAGAAACAGTTTATTATTATAGCGTGTACTGTATGTGCCTATTTCACAGGTTTACATCCACATTAAGAACATCTATATTTTGTACCAATTACAGCAACAAGTAATTTAACTTTGAATTTGGATTAAGAAAAATATTACACACATACTATATGTATGTTTATATATAAATATTATATATTAAGATTTATACAGTATATGATCATACTGCTGTTCATTGGTGTGTGCGCTACTGGTTCAGTATACAGTATGTGGATCTGACTTCCTGTGATTGTGTTCCTCAGTTTAACATCTGATA